GGGCGGAGTTTCCTTTACGGGAAGGACACTGTTAGAATTCTAACGTCGTCACTGTAGGTTCAAAGATAATCGTCGACTATGTACCATAGGTATACGCAGATTGAGAGCGCAAACCTCCCATTCTGTCTATTGAGGGAACCATGTCAAGAAAGCTTCAAGCAGATTGTTCGCCCTTTTTAGTTAAGAGTTGACGTACCGTGGTCAGCAAATTGTTTCCTAGTATTGTATCCTGCATGCTGAGCTTCTTCCTCGAGAACGTCTTTGTTGCACCAGAGTAGACATTCCATGCGACGATGAATACTATGTAAGCCCATGCCAGCATCGACAAAATCATAGCACGTGTGCCGATGAAAATTAGACTTAGCACAGTTTGAAGAACAGCATCGTGAATTTTAGTTCTAATTGGAGCCGCTCTTGTCAGGTTGGGGGAGGTGGGTGCGGAGGGTGGTGGGCGACATTGGCTTGCAAATGAGTGACTCACTTACATTACTTGATACTAAGCCCTTTGGGCCTCAGGGATAATAAGGGATTCTGGGAAAGAATGTGAGCAAAGCTTGGCCTCTCTGGCGTTTCTAAACTCTCCTGGGCTTAGCCCTAGTTTCACCTACCAGAGGTTAACGGCCACATAAAACACCTCCTTTCTTGCAGTGTACTTGCGTACACCTACGAACTACCGTAACTTTGCCTATAGGGGTAATTCGATGCCCTGATTACGAAAATGACATTCATTTTTAGCGGTGGCGCCATCTGGCGCCAGTTGGCGTCACCTTGTCACGACACCTGTTTTCACCAAATTCGGTGTAAACTTCCGTATAGGGGTTATTTGGTGTCCTGATTACGAATATGACATTCATTCTTGCGCTAGCGCCACTTGGCGTAATCAGGGCACCAAATAAGCTTTATATCGAAGTTTACAGTAATCGGTGAAAGCAGGGGTTGGCACAAGGTGAAGTCAACTGGTACCAGATTTTGCCAACACTAAAAATGAATGTCATTTTCGTAATCAGGGCAGAACCAGTCGCAATGGCTATGTTGCAGTAGTTTCTAGGTGTGCGCAAGTACACTGCACGAGCGGAGGTGTTTTTACGTGGCATTGGCTAGGGCTTATCTACCGGAAATTAGGGTAATTCCAATATTGAGCTACAACCTAACTATTTTCGACGAAGAAGAAACATACTGAGTGAATGCGACAAGAAGATGCGGATAGACGAACACGGCGAAACGATTGATCGTCATCAACAGAGTGAAGTAGAGCACAGCTTGCTCGGTAAGCGTAAGTACTCGTGAACCCCAAATGTACCACATCCGTTCCGGACTGTCATCTCCAATCTGGAAAACTCAAAGATCTCTGCAGGTTTGAACAATATTGAGACATAACGAGCTTTGATGGCTGACTAATCAACTTATTTCCTCATTAAACTCGGCACATCCCATGTACTTATACTATATCTTCCCTACACACGTGACTATTAGAAAAAAATCCGTGTGATTTTTGAGTTAATTAATTAAGACATGTGGTAAGGTGTAATTCGATAAGGGAAGAGCGAAGCATGCAAAAAACTGTTCTAGAGATGGATTTTTGAACTGTTGACATTCTGCTTCTGCATTTTTCGATTATAAAATTAGTGAGCAAATCGAAAATCGACGATTCACCAGTACAATTGGTAATTGCTGATATTATCGAGGCTCTTTTTTAGAATGTGGCATTAAGGACTGAATGCTCAAAAATCTTGCGAATATTGCTCTGACAACTTGATAAACATGATACATACTTATGTATGGAGCCCATGAATTACGCCATAGCTGACATGAATTCATACATTATGCATACGGATTTTGATATTCTGTTGATAGTGGGAGGCATTGAAATGAATTGGTTACGGACGGACGGGACATTCGATCCTTGCAATTATTATATATTATATACTGTATTTTATTCACCTCGTAGTTGAGTGCGATATCGTTTGCAGCACCTAGCATACAAGCAGCGCGACTTGCTGTGAGACTGGGCGGTGGGTAAGGTCGGTTTGACTGAACCACGAGTGTGACAGTTACGGGTTTTTGATGCCCCATTCGCCATGCTCAACGGAATGAGACATCACCGATGCCTTCAGCTACGGGAAATCACTTTAATCAAACGACATAGCTCAAGAGCCTGCAGCCAGCAGGAACAAGGGCGGCATTGGGGTGGGGATAGCAGAAATTTCTTAGGAGTAGTGAAGAAGGACGAAGCATATCCTTACTTACTTTCCCTCGCTTCCTCGCTTGGATGGTCGTATCCTTGTCCTCAAGGAATCTTCCACGGACCATGGACCAGTGGGCGGGACCGGAAGTTTTTGTGACGAAATGCATGGTAGGTACGGATCCACGTGTCGAACGCACGAACGTGAACAGGATTCACTTCAAACCTTCCCATGAACGTGGATCCGTACCTACCATGCATTTCGTCGCAAAACCACTTCCGGTCCCACTGGTCCATGGTCCGTGGAAGTCTTTAACAACTAACGCTTCGGTGACGTGGGCACTGCACGGGTAGGATGGGAATGCGGTCAGTGTTATCAAACGGGCTCTTGGTCCATAGAGTTGACCCGTACTTGTGGTCAGTTCCGAGCTACGTCAACGAGCGAAGGCGGAGGGGTACGCCGTTTCACTAAGAAGCGAAAATCAGATGTCTTGTCACCTTATGCAACTTTGTGATGCCCGTCAGACCAAAGCGATTACTTTGAGGACGACCATCTGCTCGATGATGCACGCTTATTCGTGAAGCTCTGCAAGAGTGCACGCTTCTGTGTGCTTCGAACGAGGAGGATCCGCTGGACTGTTCTCCCGCGACAGGAACCAATGGAGAGATTACTAGCGCCCACACTCAAGCAAATTGATGAGCCGGGAAGACAAGTGATGCAAGTAATGATAAGGGGTGAAACACTCTTAACACTGATCAGTATTTGGTTTGCGCCACGTATTTTCTAGGAATGTATGGTAATTATTTCTTTGAAACTCCAGTCGGGGGGCTAGCCTGTTTCAATACTCGAGATAAGAATGAGAGCGCTCATGATACGTAATAAACTTATTTAAAGGAAGCGATCACGCTGGCTTCCACGCTGGATTTGCTACCCTCGCGTTATCAATCGATAAGGTGTGAGGCAGTAATTGTTGGACGAGTGTAAGCCCATGGAAGATATGATACGATGAGATAAGAAGGTGCGGCTGCTTGATAAGAGGTGCACTCCAGAATGAAAACGGGACGATAACGATAACGGTATCATATCTAGCACGCTCTTATCGCACCCCTTTCCACATCGATAAGTCTTGGTTTTTGCTGAACGGAAGTGGATTTCGGCGCCTTATCACTCCGTTGATAAGGCGCCACTGCCACTGAAACTTCACGTGTTCTAACACATTGGGCAAGACCCCTATCCACTCCAGTACACAGCTTTCCTTATCGTCCCTATGAGATTATCGTGACTACTTCCTTTAATGTATACTTCTGATAAGTACCGGGGTAATGTGGGAGAAACCCAGAGATGCTTACACATTACACCTGCATTAGGTCAAGGGAATTGGGTCCTGACAAGGGAGTATGAACGCTTCTGCTAGGATTGAGGGTGGAGAACTCCAGCGCATGGACATTGACTGTGAGATAGGATGGAGCGTTGCGTGCGAATGTAAACATCACAGTCGATTATCAAAAGTACGATTGAAATGGAGTCGCGTACTTACAATCTTATCCATAGTGTTGGAATAGTCAAAAGCGTACTCTTTTTAGTACAGTGTACTTAAGATAACAATACTAGTGACCCCCTCCCCGAACTTGGCTTACCATGTTTTCTATTAGAGCCCATCCAATGAAACTTGGGCTGGTGTTATTTTGGCTCCTATCAAACCTGCCGATGACCGCCAAAGTGACTGCAGCATTATGACTCCGACTCTATAGAGAGGACGATACCCACTAATGCTGGACAGGTTTTTTGAACCGGATAAAACCCTCAAAGATAAAAACTCATTGTGGTGAACGAAGGCGCTGTTAAAAGAGCAATCAAAATGGATCTCTGAGAAATCACGCGAGAACTCCCTGCGACCTTCTTCTCTAGCAGCTCCACATTTGCGTGCGGTTTAAGCAAACGCCACGTCAATTGGGTGGAAGCAGCATTCATATTGCGGCAACCTGATGCAGAGTCAACCCTGCGTTGCGCAGTTCGTAACGGCACGTTGAGAGATCCTCAACGCACGCTGTATGGGCGGAGACGCAGACGGCTCGAGCATGCGAGTGTGAATGTTCGCGCGAGAGAACGTGTCTAATCGGGCGAAACTGCGCAACGTGGCCGTTGAAGAACTGCGCAACGCAGGGTTGACTCTGTTACACCTGATGGCATCTAAAGTTACGATTGCGTTACTGCCGTCATAATGAGTTTTTGAAGCTAACTATATGTACTAAAAATTTGCGGCTCATGTCGCCGAAGGGGGGGAGGCGAGGGATATCTCAAGTGCGTGGGACCAATTACGTCTTGAGAGTTATACGAAGGGAGGGAAATGGATTCTGGAGAGGACGTGAGCAATTTGTGTTTTCATGGCTTTTCTCCCATCTCCTGGGCTTGGTTGTAGGGTCACCTACCATCGACCCTCATTTGAATGACCCCTTATGGACATCATGAGCGCCCAAATCAATCCTTTTGTCCCTCCTTTGTTTCGTCCCTCTTGAAGGGTGGGATAGCGCTGGCGCTACCGAGGCCCAGAAAATAGTCATAATCACGCGTTACATTCTGCAACATTGCAATCAAGTTTGGCCCTCTGAAGATCACCTGAACGTCACCGACCTCGATGAGCATGATCGGCATTATTGTTGAGATGACCATTACCATATGAATAGCGTTAGCCACGGTCATATGCCAGACGAGCACGAAGAATGGAAACTGTAAATTCACTGGTTATCCATATAATCGAACATTTGACCACCTTGAGAGGGTAAAACCCTTTGTCCTAATAATCGAAAGCTAACCTCAGAAAATCGATTTCGCCCTCGAATAAGCACCGCGATGAAGATCGTTGTGGAAATGGAGCCGATGATTGTTAATATACCGAAAACAATACCGGCCGCCACGACCGGTACAACTTCAATCGGCTGCAAGTTTGACGTGCTCATCGACTCGTTCAGAACTAGTCCGAGGTTACCCTGAAACACAGCATCATCTTCAGAATACATAGTTGTACCGAACCGTGATTACACTATGACCTTTTAATATTCCGCGCTGTGCAGCATTTTACAATTTCAAAGGACTCGCTACGGTTGATACGTTCACTTTTTCCTCAAAGGCCGGCCGTATGGTCAATTACTTACCGGGTATTGGAGCTTATACCCCTTGAGCACCGATCGAGACTCCATACGTTTTCGGCAAGCATCATCTACACGCACAGCGAAATGTGTGGAATCCAGAGTTCCGAACTAAGATCAGGGGCGATGCCGTTTTTGCCAAGGAATCGAAAATCAGGTGGGTCGCGTTCTTTGATGACGTTGGACCAGAGCGGTTACGACTGGAATCCCTCGGGACGTCAAACGAACACCTGGACGACCGCCTGCCCAATGGTCAGACTCCAGGTTCTACCCAGGAGCCGTATTCCCGGTTCTTTTTCCAAAAAATGCCTTGATAACAAACGGAACTCTCTCCCTCCCCCTGCCAGGAAGAGCGTAACTTCTTTTTTACTCGCGAAAATACTACAGACATAGAGATGCAGAGGAGTAAGCAAGCAAACTAAGAAGTGGGAAGAAGGCCGAGGCAGTTGAGATACGGTTCTGATCTGAAAGAGTGGAGTGATGAATGCTCAGCCATTGACGTTGCCCTGTAATCGTCGATCCTGAGGCGTCGCTGCAAGTAGGATCTTTTGGCCGGCCCATTATTCTCCTCTTAACTTTTACTTTGCAGTAACATTTTTATTAAGCATAGAGAAGCCCTTATTCTTTGTTAACCCACACAAGCTCGCGCTCAGGTGCACATGGGTGAATGTTCACTGTTTGGGATATCCCGCTATAATGAGATTGGTGCGGGTCAATCAAATCCCACGGTATGTAGCCTCTTATTTCAAATAAAATCTTTCTCGACGGCATCTCGACCATTGGTATCGAAACTGGATATTCCCCCTAGATTTTCGTAGCAACGTCAGAAAGGCATGCCATTTGATGATTTCTACAGACATCAAATGACATGTTCAATGAAGTGTTTCGCCTTCTTACAAGCTTGAAAATAGGAATTATCCCTGAAGTTTGACCATAAGCATATTAACTGAGAGTGGCTCATCACGAGGTGTTTTTCCTCTTTTGTTTCCCATAATAGCAACGCTTGAGTGAAAATAAAACATAGCATAATGTGGTCAAGCACAAGTCTCTGAGATGCCCCACGCATTCAAATTTAGTTCAAAATTTTTTTGGGGTTTCAAGCGCTCGATTCGTCTTTGCCAGGCGATCGTATTTCAAATTCTCTTTCCGTAATTGGGGTTATCACGGCGATGGGCTTTTAATAATGATCACAAGAGTTTTGGATATTATTGGACGCCAAATGTGGTACCGAGCTTGCACACAAGCGTGAGAAACG